CATAATTAAATCTTCAAACTTGCATCTCGCAAAGTCTTCGACCTGTTTTTGAATTTTTTACACGTTGTTAATAAATTACTAACTAACAAAAAACCTAACAGTTCTCTATTCAGGGCCCGTTCAGTTCGCTAATTCGAGTTTTTAATTCGAGTTGAGATGTGATGTTGTGTGAGAGCTTTTTACTGTAGTAAAAAAGTTAAATGTGACTGTTTCTGAGAACTTTTTACTGTAGTAAAACTCAAATCAACGAAACGAATGCTGCTCTGGGATGGCTTCGTAGGCAATTAAAATGTCCATTTCCTTACCAATTCGTTTTGAGTTTTGAAATTCAATCAAAAAACCCGTGGACATATACGATTATTCAAAGTTATATCTTTCCTGTAGCAAATGCATATACACATTCTGATTTGAAGAAAAAAAAAAAACCATGATAAAAAATATTATTTATGATACTCTATTAAAAATAGTATGTAATTATGTAAAATGACATAAATAATAAAATTTTAAAAAAATAATAATCAAACTTGAAATCGGTTTTGAGTTCTTGGATATAGGCATTATAAGGTCTGAAGGGGAAAGCACAGAGGACGCTTTTCTTTCTCTAATCTAGCCTTGATTTCTTAATAATATTTCATTTTTTAACTTAAAAAAATGAAAACGCCAACTAGACTTGTTACATGTAGACGTAGCCACGTAGGATAGTGAGCAAGTCGTAGTCAACTAATAATAAAATATTCCGTTCATTTCACCGATTTAAATTTAAAATTCGAGTTTTGCTATAGTAAAAAACTCTCAGAAACAACTACATTTTATTTTTTTATTACAGTAAAATACTCTCACATAAAATCGCATCTCAACTCGAATCAACGAACTAAAGATGTCTTTAAATTCATTTCATTCAGCAATAAAATAAAATAAAATAAAAAATCACAATTCAAACAGGTCAATAATGGGTTTGGATGAGCCGTGAGCATCATGGGCTGGTCCTTACTTTTCTTTCTTAGAGGGCTGGGTTTAGGCCCTATCACAAGTCACCAGTTGGTTCAAATATTCTCCCCCTCGCTTGTTGCAAGAGTTTTTTGTGCGTTTGCAAAATGCCAATTTATATATTTTTGTATATATAATAATATCATTTAGAAAAAACTTACTTTTTTTTCTGTAATATATAGATGTTTAGAAGTTCTAATAATTAGGCGACATGCCCGAGGAATTAAGAATACTAAATAAAATAAAACTTTAAAATGTGAAGGCCCTAAAGTATTTATCAAGGAATAGGCCGCATCAAATATTAATTAAACAAAGAGATGGGCACCCACCATTGCGCCTCACTTTGATATTTCTTTGCTCCAAAGTAAAGCAATGTAATGTTGTCCACAAAATTTGGACAACGACACATAATTAGCTTGGCCCATTACTCACTTAATTGCTTCCTTTTCATAATGTAACTTGCCACTTCTCATACATGGTACTTTAAGGTTTTGGCTATTTGTAAATGGTTTTTTTACTTACAACGCATAAATCATGTAATACATTCCAAGTAATACATTCCAAGCTCTTGTATACTTCAAGGCAATTTTTTTACTTACAACGCATAAATCATGTGATATATTATTATTTTAGTGATTTTTTCTTAAGTTTTATTATTATTATTATTATTGTGCCAATGCTTGATTAACAAGGGTGATAGAGGATAATGGCAACTCATAATCCCATTAGCCCCTCATTTTGCTGAACTTTTGGAAGGAATACACGAAAGTTGGAAGGCAACAGAGAAAAGAAAAGTAATTTAAAAATTAAAATAATAATAATAATAATAATAATAATAATAATAATAAGAAAGAAAGAAAAAAAAGCAAAAGCAAAAGGCTTGCTTTCCTTTAGAATGCTTGCTATGATCGCTCCCTCACAGCTCCACTCAATAATGGGAGACTACTTGAGACCATTCCCATTTTGAGGGGTCATCCAACGGCTGTAATTAATACAAACATCAAGATGGCATCTTCGGTTCAATATTTATATAAAGCAATTATTTGGTGCACGTGAAGTCCTCCCCAATCTCTCCAAGTTCGAATTTTGACATTCCTAATAAACAAAATTAAACCCATCTTTCGAGTTAAATTGGATTAAATTTTTTTATTTCATTAGTGAATCTCAAATTTTATTTTATAGACGATAGATAGAGGAGGCACAATGACACTAATAATCTTTTTTATATTAGCCAATAAAAACAAGTATAAATCATACAAGCATGCTCTTCTTCAATGTGTAAATAAGGTTGAGTGATACAATTAGACTTTAGTTGTTCACCATACAACTTTTATATGTACATTAAGATTTTATATTCTACAAAATATATATTTTCAAATTCCAATTATCTCTAAAGTTATACTCTTATAATTCTCCTCTTTTTAAATTGATAAACTCTCTATAGGCCGTATTTTTTACATATCCAACATCTATATTTATATACATCATGTCATGTCAATTAAAATGTCACATAAAATAAAACTACTTTGAACATAATTGTAATGAATCTAAAGTCATAAACACATCTATAAAAAATAAAAAATAAAAAAGACTTCATCAACACTATAAAGCCAATTGTGTGTGATTTTCAAAAAAAAAAAAAGGTGTGTCTCTCTCTCTCTCTATATATATATAATAAAAGCTTCTTGAGACTCAGATGGGCAATATCCAAGAGGCACATGCATACCAGTTTAGAATGGCACACACAAAGGGAAGTGGTCAATATATAATACACACACACACACACACACATATATATATATATATACGTATATTATATTGATTGCTTGAAGGTCACAATCGCTTCTTAGTCATCTTGACAACAATTTTGCAACAATATCTGGCACAGAATCCGGTCCTAAATTGGAGCCAAACTTGGGAGCCTTTGTGGGGTACCTTACCAGGAAGAAAAGTCAAGGGCATCAGTGGTGTTTTGAGCCAATTTTTATATTTCGTATTACGTAAAGGTACATTTGTACAATGGGCAACCCTAGATCGAATCGTTTTTGTTCGCTTAAAAAATATTTTATTCACCCTAAATAAAAATTTTCTTAGAAAAGCATTATGTCAAGAATTACTTGTATTATGTATAAAAGACCAGATATGGTGTCTTTTTTTTTTTTTTTTTGGTTAAAGTTCAATCACTGCTTATGATAATTAAAGGCTTTTTTTGCGAAACTATGTATGAACTGTTCTAATTTGTAAATTGTACTACTTGTTGCGAAACTTTCAACAAACAAAGAGTTTGTTTAGTTCGCTAATTCAAATTTTTAATTTGAATCGATATGTGATTTTACGTGAGAATTTTTTACTGTAATAAAAAAGTTAGATCGTGACTATTTCTGAGAGTTTTTTACTATAACAAAACTTAAATTTTAAACTTAAATTGATGAAATAAATAGAGGCAAATTGTTTTATCAATCATTCATGGGCGATTAAAAAATTGACAAACCTACCAAAATGAGTGTTAAATGTAGTTCTCTCCATTTCTTATGGGCGAAACTTTAAATAAGCAAAGCTGACTTGACGTTTATTTATGTCATATTTGGTGTTAAACATGTTCGAGGTCTGTTCCCGCTGTGCTGACGTGGACAAGACACCTCATTGTCGGTCGGATTTATATTCATGGACCCCACTAGTGCTGGCGTGGTGAGGCCTCTTCCAGTCATTGTCCAGGTGTCTTAGATACATAACTTTCATATTGAATTGCTGATTATTGGGGCTGCGGATTCCGGTTTTCAACCTAAATTAAAATATAATATTTTTTAATAACTTTTAACTGTAACAAAAAAAAAAAAATTATATGTAATATTTTTTAAAAGTTTTTAATTGTATAAATTTAAATTAATAAAATAAGTGAGATCTTAAATTTATTTTATGAAACTTTTTTTTAGTGTTTCTTATTTTTTGAAAATATTAACGTTTTTTATTTATCGACTGTTGAGTCTGTATTAAATCTAATCAAAAATTAAATTAGATTAAAAAATAATATAGATCTAACGGTTGATAAATAAAAAATACCAGTAACTGAAAAGACCAAAAAAATTCCCTTATTTTATTTCTTCATATACATATATATATATATAAAAGAAATTTCCCTGTTGATGAAATTGAATTGTATTTTTCCACAGGTGAACGAGACTTTTCCACACTTTTGGTCAGTTTTAAACTTTTCTCACACATCATTAACCAATTACATGTAAAGAAAATAATATATTCAATAAAAAAATTTGAGAATTCTTTTGATAGATAATTTTTCATATTATTCTATCACTAGAGTATTGTTCTGACCGTCTTTTATTCTGTCAGTTTTATTTTTTTTTATTTAGTGCAGCTTTTATGAGACCAAACATTTATTTGATCAGATATGTCTATTATAAAAAAGTTCTAAAAATCAGGAATTTATTAATTGAGAAATATATATTTACATATACATATGCATATATGGTATGAACTGGATGTTAATATGCCTTAATCTTAGCCATGGATCAAGCCGTGTTATGATATAATGAGAATCCCATTCCCATCCTTTAGGAAGAAAATATAGATCAACAATTTATAGAAACACCGACGTGTGTGCATATATATATATATATATATATATGGTATGAACACAAACACACACACACACATATATATATATAGCGTGTAATAACTTCTATTTTTCCAGCTGTAAATATAAAGCTTGCGGAAATTCCATCTTAGACGGCAATAATAATCATAATAATAACAGTAATATCAATAAAAATAAAACCCCACCTAGGATAAAACTATTTCAGTTCCCTCCCCCCACCCCTTTTTTATTTTTTTTTTTTTATTTTTTATTTTTTCCTCTCTAGAATCCACCTTTGTGTGAAAACTAAGCAAACCTTTGAAACATCTCACCCACATTTAATACACACATCACCTCCCCCACAAAACCCTATATAAATACCAATCCTCAGCCTCTCTAAAAACCTCTCATCATTTTTTTTCTTTTCCATATTTATCTCTTACATATATAATTCATATATGTGGGTTGTATGTGAATAAAATATCATTTATCATGAGCAATATTCCGAGGTCTCTCACAGACTCTTCCCTCACCCTCTTCAAGCTCGCCATTTCCGCCTCTGATCCTTGGCCTTTTTCTCTCGTTTTCTTATAACCCAAACAAGGGAAAATTCTTTCTTTCTTTCTTTTTCTTTTTAAATTTTTTAATTGATTTTTTTTTTTGGGGGGTGTGTGATAAATCAATGACGATTAGTGCTAGCGAGCAAGACAAACACCACCACATGATCATGAACTTTCACCTGCAAATCCCTCACATTCACCTTCATCATCATCATCATCATCAACATCATGATCAGAAGAAGGATCATCACCATCATCAAGAACTGAAGGGCATCCCAAAGGGGTGCTTGGCGGTTATGGTGGGGTCGCAGGGAGAGGAGCAGCAGAGGTTCGTGATCCCTGTGATCTACATCAATCACCCGCTCTTCATGCAGCTCCTCAAAGAAGCCGAGGAAGAGTACGGATTTGATCAGAAGGGACCCATCACCATTCCTTGCCACGTGGAGGAGTTTCGCACCGTTCAAGGAATCATTGATAAAGAGAATTCTATCCATCATCACCATCACCACCATCAACACCATAAGCGGTGCTTTAGGGTTTGGTCTTTGCACCCAGAGTAGTAGAAATATATATATATATATATTTAATACTTTTGTAAAGTTAATTTCTTTTTCTCTCTTTCTTTGGCATGTCCTTAATTTAAGTGACAGAAAATTTCATGAGATTATCATATGATATATGTATGATTTATTGTCGGTACATTTGTCTGGAATGTAACAAAAATTCATGAAGACGGAAAATCCAAAGTTTTTTTTTTTTTGTGTGTGTTTCTGCCCTCTGAATTACATAAGTTAAGCTTGTTGGGTATATCATCAAAATTACTGTTATTTTTAATCAAGAGAATACAATTATTGTACGCGGGAGAGAGATGTATAGAAATACGTAGAGAACACGTACTATTGAAAAATTGCAAGTGGAAAAATTAAAAAGGTTTACTTAACTTGGAGCCATTAGATATCATTGCGTATATAATGTGGTGGGTCGTCATTGTTTGGATAAGAATTACGAAAGCTTTTCATTCAAACAAAATGAAATTACAGTAGTGTTATTTCAATTTAATTTCTATCATTCCTTTTGATATTTGTTCGAATATGATATATCTATAGTGCGGTTGTTATCATGATGCAAAAGCTTTGGTGGGCAATACTCGAACCTTAAGCCTTGGGGTCCCACGGTCATTGACATTTCTTTCAAAGAAAAAAAATATCAGATTCTGGAATTTATAACATTGCAATTTGCAACTGTATTTCCTTTCAAGTATTAATTTTTTTTTCTATTTCCTTGTTATGCGCGTTGGTGCGTTTGGTTGGTGTATTCGTGCCATCATTCTAATTATGATTCGTGGTTCGTTACAGTATTTTCTCACACAAAAAATACACGTAAATCAAGAATAATTATGTATCATAATTTTGAATCCATGAACCAAACGAGGCAACCTCGGAACCCGATATATATGTTCAAAAAAAAAAGGAAAAAAAAACCTATATACATATATCCTCAAATTATGTCATCATGTCAAGATGAAAGAGTTACGATACATATGATAAAAATAAAACATAAACACAAAAATCATCATGATTTGCACTTAATTGAAATTCTGTCATTAATTCTGTAAAAAGAATGTCATGGTATTGTCCTTTTTTTTAATCCAGGATAAGTTATATTTCAATATTATGACGTGTTATATATAATTATTTTGTCATAATATATATTTCAATTTTTAATATCATGATTAATAGTAATATATTAATTTCTTTGATCTCCCATCATCAATGGCGAGAGTGTGTACACGGTTAGGGGGCATATATATCTTTTTGTTCTATTATTGATGATGGCCTCAAGGTTTCTTAAAGGTGAAGGAAATAGGAGATGAGATAGCACCAATAATCTTTTTTTTTTTAAATAATAAATAAAAATAAAGGGTGCGTTTGGAACTCGTTTTAAAATGATTTTTTTTTTTTTATGAAAATGAAAACGTTTTCAATCTCAGACAGAAATCATTTTTAAAAATGCGTTTAGTAGTTTTATCAAGAGATTGTTTTCAGTGTAAAAAAAAAAAAAAAAAAAAAAAAAAACTCATTAACGTCTCTCTTTCTCTCTCTGCTCGAGAGAGGAGAAAACGAAAATAAAAAATGAAAAACGACTAAAAGTCGTTTTTCATTTCTCTCTCATTTTACATTAAACAAAAAAATCATTTTCATTTCTATTTTTTATTTTTATTGCGCTAAACGCCGTTTTGAAAACGTTTTTATTTTTCTTTCTCAAAAAACGTAAAAAATAAAAACGGAATCAATTCCAAACACGGTCAAAACCTCTTCATCTTGCTTCCTAGCTTTCTTTCTCTATTTGATATCTCTTTATTATTATTTACTATATACTATTGTGGAAAATGAAAATCAATATCAACGAATTTGTTATCAGCTTAGAGAGAGTTTGTGAATGGGGTATCCAAAAGAAACAGGTAATTCTAATTCAAACCTTTTGCCTTATGCGGTTTATTTGTCTCTTTCTAATTAAATTGTGTGCGCGTATAAGGTTATATGTACCTGAGGGAGGTTAGATCTGAATTGGTAAGCTAACACATGCTTCAATACACTAGGTGAAAGGAGTTAATTTGTCTATCTCAACTTTAAATTATATTTAATTACTATTTAACCTTTTTTTTTTAAGTAAAGTTTCATTTTACAAAAACAAGTTAAGCTTTGTAATTATTGGTTGTTGTTTTAGCAAGATTTGATGACTTTATAACCTAATATTGCATAAATTTCCTATCAAAACTTTGGTGTTTGGTGCAGCGTAATTCTAGAGCAGGTGGTAGTAGGGACGTCCAATTTCATATGAACATTTTTTTTACGAACCGGATGCTAGCTACCACCTTCTTCAACTTCAATATATTTAGGGCCCGTTCACTTCGCTGATTCGAGTTTGTAATTCGAGTTGAGATGTGATTTTATGTGAGAGCTTTTTACTGTAGCAAAAAAGTTAGATGTGATTGTTTGTGAGAGCTTTTTACTGTAGCAAAACTCGAATTCTAAACTCGAATTGGTGAAGTGAACGAGGCCTTATTAATTATTCGAATAATTGATCTCATTTTTCCCTCCTCCACTATAATGTGATTAAGATATCCTACAATTAATTATATAAATTCTTCCATATTTGGCACATTTCAGTGGTTTCTAGGGCTTAAATATCGTTTCAAGTTGTATTAAGTTTGAGAATTTTGTGTCGAGGTTAAAAATATTTAAAAAAAAAAAAAAGGGTAACAGAACAATACATGCCTTGATCCTTTTTATGAAACATCATCATCTCTTCAAAATCTAACACTCAATAATAAGGATTTAAATCCTTTGTCTCTTTATTGTTTTTTTTTTTTTTTTATCACTTTCATATCTCTCTAATAATATCATGGCACGACATTGATTAGAATATTTTAATTGATGTAGTAATGATATCATTAAAGAATATGGAAGAAGATATGTGAGTAGAATCTTAAAAATCCTACAGGCTCTCTGTTCATTTCACCGATTCGAGTTTAGAATTTGAGTTTTACTATAGTAAAAGGCTCTAAAAAACAGTCACATCTAACCTTTTTGTTACAGTAAAAATTTTTTATATAAAGTCACATCTTAACTCAATTAAAAAGTTAAATCACCGAACTAAATAGGCTCACAGTAATCATCTTTTCGTACCAAAATCTGCAACTCCTAGGTTTAAAACACAAGTTAAATACGAAAGTTGCGTTTGCTAGACCAGTTCAAACATACGTGTATTGGGCCAAAATATCACAAACAAGTGGAGATAAGTTTGCATTGACATTGGACAATATTATTTGCCCGTGTGTACTCTTGAATCTTATATCAGTCCTTGTTGGGCCATAAACTCTCTCTCTCTCTCTCTCTCTCTCTCTCTTCTCTCTCTCTCTCTCTTTCATTTTCCTTTGAGGAGAAGGAAGTTGTCAAGCAGAAACGGCAGACATGAAATTTATTGAATTTCCAACGGTCAATTCAAACTGTGAACAACTGGCTTCCATGACATGTTGTTTGTCTCCTGAGAAAGCGGAAGCAAATACATGTTCACATTGACTTGTATTAAAGTCTTTGTTTGTTTCGAGTGTTTATTTATTATTCTGAATCATGATTCTTAATTCTCTATAATGTTTTTTCTCATAAAAAATTTAAATTTTAAAAATCATAATCATAAATCATGATTCTTCTGAATCTATAAACCAAACGTCTCAGAATTAATTACACCCTTTCTATGCTTCACTAGAGGATTGTTGCATATTAAATTTTCTTCTTCTTAATAGAATGTTACATATTAAATTAACGTGTTAAGTTTAATTTAGCTAAAATTAGAACTATTTATATCCGTTGTTTACTTCAAATCCGTGAAAAAGCTTTATTATATTCATCATGGGAGAAAATTTCAAACGAGACTTACACTAACAAATTACATTGGATCAAAGACTTTGTTGAAAGGGAAATAGAGGAGAATATGGTTTTGATCAAATTCTGTATGGAAGTTCCTTGTTTATTCTGTTACCCTGAATAACGACTTTTTTTTTTTGTTTATGGCCAATGAAATCTTGAACTAAAGCTAATTGCTTCAGCAAAAAAACAAGCAAATAAATAAATAAAAGTAAACGATTTTGCTTGTAGACATTCTGTTATTTTGGCATGTATCCAAACACCATAATACCTTTCTTTCTTTTTTTAATGAGCAAAATAACATAATCGTTGAATACATGCTTTTCCACTCTTTTTGCAGCGTAAAAGTCATACCCAACTAGTTAAATATAAAATCAATTCAAATATTTATATAAATTAAACACCTATAATTTTTTTAGAAAACTTTTATAATAATTAGAAACAATTACTACCAGTTCTGTAGATTTTCTTAGTGTAGTTTAAAAGAGCGGTTCAAATTATACGGCCACTGTTGGCAAAGTTCTCCCGTTTTATTTTTTTGGCAAAGTGTGGATTGACCGTAATACTTCACAAGGCACCCTTAGGAATAGGAATACTTACCTCCGTTTAGTTTACGCGTTTAAATCAGTGATTTTAATTTATTAGTAAAAATTTTATGTGAAAAGAAATTTTTAAATTCAAATTTTTTGTGAGATGAAAAACACTATATCAGAATCATGAGTTTAAGTATTAAAACCAAACAGGGCCTTAGATAAAGCTTTAATCGTAAATGCATAACCAATTTATCTCAAATCTTATCTAATATCATGGCCACTGCATCAATTTTATTTCAAAACATGCCTTTAAAATCAAGAAAATTACAAGCTACCAATGTTTAAGCTCAAAGGAAAAGAATTAGATCTACCTTTTTTTTCTTATTCTTTTTCTTTTTTTCTTGAAGGCCAAAAGGACTCGTTTGAATCTCTTTGATAGGCATCAGTGAATTACAAAAAGAAGATTTTTTTTTCTTGCAAGATATGAAAAATAAAAACAGCCTAGTTCGCTTTGCGGATTCGAGTTTTCAATTCGAGCTGAGATGTGATATTTTTTTAGAGTTTTTTACTGTAGCAAAAAAAGTTAGATGTGATATTTTCTGATAGTTTTTAACTGTAAAAACCCAAAACTAAAAACTCGATTGATAGGCATCAGTGAATTACAAAAAGAAGATTTTTTTTTCTTGCAAGATATGAAAAATAAAAACAGCCTAGTTCGCTTTGCGGATTCGAGTTTTCAATTCGAGCTGAGATGTGATATTTTTTTAGAGTTTTTTACTGTAGCAAAAAAGTTAGATGTGATATTTTCTGATAGTTTTTAACTGTAAAAACCCAAAACTGAAAACTCGAATCGGTAAAATGAACGAGACCCACCATTATTCTTGTTTTATCCCAAGTCCGTCATTTTACATACTTTTTCATTACGCTAAATCCAGCACAAATCCTTTTTTGAGAAGGATGTTTTTCATAAATGGCCTAAGGTTATACAAAATTACATAAATGGTCGTTTTCATTAACTTAACGGTCAATCATTTATTAACTCAACGGTCAATCATGATTAACTTATTTTATAACTGATTAACTCGATTATTCTTATTATTAATCAACATTAATTAATAATTAACTACCGGTCAATCATTTATTAACTCAACGGTCAATCATGATTAACTTATTTTATCACTTATTAACTCGATTATTCTTATTATTAATCAACATTAATTAATAATTAACTAAAATTAATTAATAATTAATCAATTTCAAACAATAAATTACATATTTATTAATGATAGACTATCGATAAATTAATAATAAATCAGTTAATCATGATCGACAGTGTGTTATCACTAATTGAATGTGGTCTATAAGTCAATCATTAATTGACTCACGTAAACAAAACGACTATTTTCTAAATAAATAAAAAAATCGGCCATTTATGAAAAACGCAAACATGCAAATATCAATGAGGTTGCTCCCCTAACAACAGATAAGAGTTCAAACCAAGTATAGGCGAACGAGAATATTTGAAACCAAAAAACTTCCAAAGTTGTATTTCTTCGAGGACTTTTTAACATAGGTCCAATGCACAAATTGTTTTTACAAAGAGAAGATATGTGGTATAGGATCTTGAGCAGATTTTTTTGCGTCAATTAATTAATACAAGCTATTGCAATAGTGCTGTTTCAGTTTCAACCTATCTAGGCACTCAAATTTTCCAACTTTACCATCAGCGAAATGGTAAAACAACGAAAAATGGAACATACTCTTCAATAAATAAATAAATAAGAAAAAATATATAAGGAAACCGAAAAAAAAAATAAAAAAAATAAAAAAATAAAAAAAAAAAAGTGCTTGGTTAAATTCTATCGATGTCTTGAATTAGAACTACGTATTGTCACACCATGCAAAAATTTAGTATATCCAAGGAAGCTAAGTTTTCCATCAGAACTTCTGATCCAGTCATTCAATAAAGGATAAGCTGTAGGACCCAAGTTCATTTCCTGCAAAAATTCTCTCTATTAAGTTTCTGGATTGCAACGAGAATTCAACTATAAAATAATCATCTCAAAACGCTTACCTGGGCCAACTCCTCGACCGAGATAGCACGGTTTCCTTCCCTGTCAAAGTACTCGAAAGCCGTATTTGCAATATTTTCCCACCCTTCAAGAGTTTCAAGTTGATGAGGACTAATTGCTGCAGCGCAGAACTCTTCGAAGTCCATTTTTTTATAAGCAAGCGGTTCCATCTTACATTCAGAAACCGATCAAGTTATTTCAATATACGATAAACCTTGAAGAAATGTATCCAAAGATTGATCGAGATTTCTTACCAGCTTTAAAATATCGGGAACCCTTGATTCCCTCATGGCATCAGTAGCATTTCTCGTGAGAGCCTGGAATTTCAAGCATAAGAAATTGGAAGGTAAAGTTGATGCTAAAGATGACTACAAATATACAGGTTGAATATCTACATAATAAAATCAGACCAGAAATGCGTTTCTGTTCAACATAATCACTAAAACGTGCACCAAGAATAAATCAACTAACCGTTTTAAAATTCTCAAGGGTTACGTATCCATGTTTCGGGTCCAAGAGCCTAAACTGGGCTTGGAGGTAGATGAGCCCGTCTTCTGTAATAGCTTTTGATAGAGCCTGTAATTACACAAAGGCGCACAGCAGAATGAAAGGATGTTACTAGAGAGCACCATAATCCAAACCAAAATTATTGAACGGAAGGCTATGGAGCCCCGTGTGCCAATAGGGGCCGTGTTATGCCGTATCCCACCAAAACTGGTAAGTAGAGAAAATGATGAGAAAAATAGGGATTACCTTTTGTGCTGCACGTTTCAAAGGTGTAGCACGAACATATGACTTAACTAACTTGTACATTGAAATATCCAATGGCACGGGACGGCTTTCATCTCGTAACCATGGGTGAGCTGTAAACAGAGATGATTGTTACTTTCACACTGGAAGGAATTACAAAATATACAACATGAGCCAGGAAAACTCTTAGAAGAATCATGAAAATGAAAGTGTAGTGCGTATATGTGTGTGTGTGTCTATGCACGTTTTAGGGAGAGAGAAGAGTGCATGGCATTTAGTTTTTGTCATTTACTTAGAGCTTGCACCGCAGTCATTCTCTTTCTGTGGTCCTTGTTGAGAAGCCTTTTCACAAAATCTTTGGCTTCAGGTGACACTTCTGGCCAAGGGGAATCGTCAAAGTTAGGATCAGCTCTTAACACTGAACGGAATATTCCCGATTCAGTACGAGCCCAGAAAGGTCTGCTTCCACATAGCAATATATATGTTATGACGCCAATACTCCATAAGTCTGCTTCCATACTGTAAGATCTATGTAGTACTTCAGGAGCAACATAGTATGCACTACCAACTATATCATTGAGCCGTTGATCTGCAAATGTGCAACTAAAAAGTCCTATGAATACAATGTACTGAATAAAAACGATGAAATATTCTTTCATCCGTGTTCTTAAATGTAAAAGGAATTCTTGTCGGCGGCACAAATCATTTATTTAAGCATCATTTTTTATTTCAATAAATGAGTTGATAGAAGCCTTAAAGAAACTAAAAGGATTTCAGTAGACAAAAGGCATTTATTGTCAAAGGCACCAACGGTACTCAAAGATGGTTTATGTACCTGGCTGGGTAAAATCAGACAGACCAAAATCAATAACTTTCATTGGAGCATCTTCGTCTCTTGTGGTAAAGAGAAAATTCTGTTAAAGCAGTATATAGTAATAAAGCGTACTTAGTAGCTTCTCATAACTTGGTATACGGATCAAAGAACTAAACTATCCACAAGGCACGCATTTATTTATTGCCAAAATAATATTGAAGCCAAACTTCATTTTCCTACCTCTGGCTTTAGATCACGATGCACAACACCTTGAAGGTGACAGAAAGCAACTACACTCAATATCTGCACAACAATATTCTTTGCGTCTTCTTCTTTGTATCTTCCACCTCTGCAGAGAAACCGAAAATGAAATAAAATACAAAAACCTTCAGCATTCATGAAATCTGAGTGAAACTAGAAGTTAATAGTTATATAAAATCGGGAAAAGAAAACTATAGCATTTAACTTTTACCTTGACAAAATTCTATCCAGGAGTTCTCCACCTTCACACAACCTGAGGAGTATAATGATAATAAGATTTATAATTCAGACCTAACTTCTAAACTGGTTATCTTGTTTTGGTTCATAAGCATCCCAAACCCAAAGCATCCAAATGCAGTCACAAATCAGCATTAGATCGCAGGTACATACATTATCCATGCTTTGCAAAAAGAAGCGTAACAAAATAAGGAAAAGAGAAGCACATACTCCATTACTATGTACACATTATTGGCATCCTCAAATGCATCATAAAATTTGACCAAATTCTTATGGCCGGATAATGCTTTTAGTATTTTCACCTCCCTACGAACGTCTTCAATGGATATAGCGGTTGTCATCTGCAAAATATATTGGCTTAGCAATTACAGTGCCTCAAAATAAAACCCATATGCTATAAGCCTATAGCATGGTGCGAAAAATAAATATCCATAAAGAAATGAGAAGTTCTAGCCTCAACTTTAGAATATTAAATATAATTGTTGGAAGGTCACAAAAGAGCAACTACCGTATTTTTTCAACGTATGGTCGATGATCCGAAGAAGTACTTAGCCCAAAAGAAATGGACCATGGCTATAGCTCATAACATATCAGAAAAAGAGTGACAATGATCAAGAAATCACTTCTAGTAGCAATTACAGTGCCTCAAGTTTGCATTTACTGTCAGAAAAAGTATGCATATCAGAAAAAGAGTGACAATGATCAAGAAATCACTTCTAGTAGCAATGGTTGCGTCCCACAAAACTAATGTGAGACAGAAAAAGAGTGTGACAAATTATTATAACAGTAAATGCAAACTTTTATGCACCTAAGAGGCTAAGACTTTTTGAGCCAGTTTGGGAGATATATCAAACGAGCAGAAGGTAATGTACTAATGTCATAAGGTTTAAAGATTCCAGTCCCACAAAGTTATCTTAGAGAATGTAATTGATCAATCCTCTAGGAATAGTTAAGAATGGACTATATGTAAGCTTCCTTCTCATTGTTTCAATCAAAAGTTGCATTATTCTTGTTTTTGGACTGACCAATTTGACCATCTATATGGACTATTTCCCCTACATTTTGTAAGTATTTCCAACCATCAATCGCTTTTACAAAACAAAATCAATGTGAAAGAAAACTCTTTCAGCTGATCACAAAAAAAAAAAAAAAAAAAAGGTTCTTTTGCATAAAGAGCCCTCAAATGCTCACTAAGTCAAAATTCCATTTCCAAATGCATATCCTCACATGGCATGATCTTCTGTTTGCCTTTCACTTTCGGATGAAAATAAATAAGTAAATAAAATCTAAAAGTCTGAAAAAGAATACCGCAATTTCTGGTAGGGGATATGAATAAGGATTGTTCCTTTTCTTTTCGAATTCAAATTTACACAACAAACCCAACAAAACTATCTTCAGTTACGGTGTGACTAAGCTTTTTTTCACCACATAAAACAGACAATGTTAAGTGAAAGACACACAGAAGCGCCAAACCTGAATTTTCTCAAACGAATTACTAAAATTGATCATAGGACCATAAGACATTTAAATTCACAAATAGGAAAACACATTGTATATAACCTAACTAAATAAGCTTCTGAAAAGCAAAAAATTAAAAGCTCATTATAAAGATAAACTTAAATTGTGAAGAAGAGAACCATAATCAGCAACAATAATAACAACAAAAATTAAGAATAAGAATAACACCTTAGCTTTTGAGATGATCTTCACAGCAACAGGTTGTCCCTTGAGCTCTCCTTTCTTGCCCTTGGCCCAGCAAGTATGACCAAAATGCCCTCGGCCGACCTCCTTCCCGACCTCAAACTTCGCTCCGAAGTTCTTCGCGTACCCGAAGCTCTTGTCCAGCGCTCTCTCTCTCTCCCCTTCCTCGCCGTTCTGCTCCTCCGGAATCGGCCCGTCTTTCGGCCTCGGAGCCTTCCCCTGCCGCCGGAGAAGAGCCGCCATGATCGGCTTCGCCGGGGACGTTTTTTTCCCCCCCCGGCGCCGGGAGAAGACCCGCCATGATCGGCTTCGCCGGAGACGGCGGCGGCAGCGGCCATCGGAACTTCCTCCCCGGAGTCCTCCCAGGCGTCCTCGCCGGCGATGGAGCGACTCCGGCCGGTAAGGGACTCTGGAAGGGGCTGGCGGTGAAGGAGTACGCCGGAGTGTTCTTCCCGGAGTGGGAGCCTCCGGCGCCGGGGCCCGCCGGCAAGCCGTGAGATGTGCTTGATTGATCGCCGGCGGCGAGGTGATCGGTGTTGTTGACCACGGAGACGGAGGCTTGCTTGCTGCAACAATGTCCCATCGTAGCTTGATCGGCCGGGATTTCGAAGTCAAAAGTCAAATCATCGGAAGGCGGAGGACTCTCAACCGGAGGGAAAAATTCGAGTTTCTCGACGCCGAACCGGAGAGAAATTATTATTAAAAAAAAAAAAGAGAAAAAAGAAGAACAGATGAAGAGAAGAAGAAAAACGGAAAAAAAGTGAAGAAGTGAAGGTGTTGGAATGTTGCTGTAATTGCCTTTAAGTTTGAAAGTTGGGAGTTATAGGCTACGGTGACAGCGTTCGGGCTTTTCATTTATGGTGAAAGCTGAATCTATGACCGTCCGATTTGGATCGCAAGGCGTTATGTCGTGGTGGGTCCCTCTGGAGTATTCAATGTTGTGAACCTTCTTGCTCAGGTAAAAATTCAAAGCTAACGACCTTCATTATTATTGTTAATGATCAAATGGTTTGTCAGTGTGGCTTTAATTTGTACATTAATATGTTTGCTTTCATTTTTCATCTTTTTCTAGTTAAAAGAAGGAGGAGAAAAATTTAGGCTCCTTTAGTTCGTTAATTTGAGATTTAAATTGAGTTGAGATGTAATTTTATGTGAAAGTCTTTTACTGTAATAAAAAAAATTAAATGTGATTGTTTCTTAAAGTTTTTTACTATAATAAAATTCAAATTTTAAATTCAAATTAATGAAATGAACGAGGCAATAATTTTGAATTGATCATTTTTATTCAACATGTAGTTCTAGTAAATTATCACGTGAGCCCGTTCGGTTCGCTAATTCGAGTTTTTAATTCGAGTTTAGATGTGATGTTGTGTGAGAGCTTTTTACTGTAGTAAAAGAGTTAGATGTGACTGTTTCTGAAAGTTTTTTACTGTAGTAAAATTCGAATCAACGAAATGAATGAGGCCAGACATCACCGATCTTTTTTTTCTTTAGAAAGGAGATGGGAGAAATTTACTATAAAGGGGGAATTTTTTAGAGGAAGACGTGATAATTATTTGACAACTATATACATTAAAATATTTAATGACCTTTTTCAATGAGTATGCAAAGAGGAAATAAAGGACACTTTGCTGTTATTTTAATTACTTTTGCATTGAAATTTCATTTTTGAGATACCCAGAAGGCAAGCACACCTTCTTATACAAATTCAACTAATTTTTGTTGATAGCTTCAAATCAAGTGGAAAAAAAATGAAAGAATTCAATTATTCATTGACTAAAAGAAGAGAGAGAGAGAGAGATATCCAACGAATTTTATTGATTCGTCAAATTACAAATACAAAACTTTTTAGTTTTGGGTCCATATTCTTCAGTCAAAAAATAAATTGGTATCTCATTTTTTTTTTATTTTTTTTTTGGGATTCCATAGAGGATATCTGCATGAAGTTTGGGGACAGATTTGATCTAGAACTTCGAGGTTATCACATAGTAATTAAACTTACTTTGTTTACATCGCTCTTAATCTTTTGTTCTTACATACTCGGATGGTTACTTATTGACTAATTCTTTTATCATTAATTACTATTGACTATATAAATTGACTTTTGCTTGAATTGCCAAGAATATTGGAAGTTATTATAGCTTAATGTTGAAGGCATTACTTTGAGATAAACGGTAAATTCGGATATGGTGAATTCTTTGTTCAATTTATAATAATATAGCACGTGATTTATTTTTCTTGTAATAATGTGACACGTGAGGTTTTTTTTTTTTTTTTTTTTTTAATACGTAAAACACACAAAAACGGGTAGATTAATCATAAGGTATTTAGGAAGTGTTAACATTGTGGTTATAAGTAGAACTCATTAAGTGATGTTATTATTTTTTAAAAAGGAAAAAAGTGCATTTAATTAAGAAACTTCTAAATCAGCCATTACAAAGCAGCTTATGAATCTAAGAAGGGAATCAATCTAAAAAAATCCGAAGAATTAGAGAAAGCAAAAGAATTTAACATATGGGTTGAAGGAGAAATGTAGCTGATTGAGCCACAAAAAGCTTATGAAATTGAAGGATGTGTCACCAATCACATTTAAATCTACTAATCGCAGAGTTGGTTTAGTTTGCTAATTCGAGTTGATATGTGATTTTATGTGAGAGTTTTTTATTGTAACAAAAAAGTTAAATGTGACTGTTTCTAAAAGTTTTTTACTGTAATAAAATTCAAATTTTAAACTTGAATCGGTGAAATGAACATAGTCACTGACCCAAGTCAAATAGCCATTTGTTAGAGCAAAAAGAATTCCTTCTCTGACAGCAACATTACAATTGGAAAAACATGAGTTGAAACTTACATCGTTGATCTTTGAGCTCAAACCAACCAAAAATAAATAAAAAATCTCACTTACCTTCTTCCCCATTCATCGGAATTAAACTATTTTTCAACGTAGGTAACCTTTGGGAGTCTTTCCACCAATCAAATATTAGGTGACCAAACCAATAATTCTTTTGGGAAATTGCTGTCTAAAGTAGGAAATGTTCGCTGCATTTTTCAGATTAGAAAGTTGGCAATATTCGCACTTGTATATATATGATTTTCATGTACATGAATTGAAGCTTTTAATTTTGCTGAGGTCTCTGAGGCGGTCTGATTTGGCTTTCATTTTGCATAAATTGTTCTGACCTATATATTAATGGGACATTCTTCGATACACAAAAAAAATAAATAAACTCCCTAAACAAAAATAAAAGAGAGATAGAAATATAATAAATTGAAAATTATATGATAGGGCAAGTTGTTTTGACCTATATATATTAATAGGACATTTTTCGATACATTAATATATTAGTAGACTAAGTTTTTAGTCAGTCAGATCTGCATAAAATCGCGTAAAAATAAAAAAATATACATATTTAACAGTTAAAAAAATATAACTAACCGATACGTCAAACATATTAAAAAATCTCTCATATTTTTATGTACACGTTCATAAATCATATCAATAAAACTTAATCAAGCAATTGATTAAATTTACTCAATTCAGAGAGTAAAACAACATGTCGCACCTTAGAATTTCATTAAGAAAAAGCACGCAAATATAACAAATTTGATAAAGAAATAAAATTCCATTTATGTCTTTTTTTTTTTTTTGGTTCTCTTTGCACTGTACAATAAATTATTCAAAGAAATTTGTTTCTTTTAACTAATGAGCAAGGGGAACTACAACTAAATGAAAGGTTAACCTGCATTTTTAAGATTTGTTCTTTCCTTGCTTGGATTATGGTTGTTATAATAGCAACCAAGATGATAATTGATGATTCCCACAACTTCGATTGCTCTTATTTTTAATTTTTGTTCTCTTTTGTTTGGAACATGAATTCATTTGTTGTCCAAGGAATTATGTGCACTTTGTGGTACGTTATGGAAGAAAATCAACTAATAAAACAATTTGTAGTAATATAACAAAATCTCTTTTAAATCATTCTCTAAACTTAAGAATTTGTAGATATAGATTGGAAGCAGATGATATTGAAATTTTCTAATTATTAAATTCTTATTTCTATTGATAGTTTTTGGATAATTTGTCCCTATTTTTCTGAAAATACTTTATATTTCAATTATATGAAAGCATGATGACTTCCATTTTTGCCTCGGTTCGCTAATATTGTAATGTCGTACTTGTAAACAATTAGGATCGAACAAAAAGAAAAGACCAAGGGGCTACAATAATGAGAAATTGACAAATAATTATAGATAAAAAGTAACTAGAATATCGGCTTTTCCTCCAAACCTTTTTATTGTAAAAAAAATACAGAAATGTCCTTTATATGCGCGTGCTTATATTTATATAAAAAATATAAATCATTGTGGTTGTTTAGTTAGGAGATTCGTAGCTTGATTTGAATCACAGTTTATGATTCATTACAGTATTTTTTTCATAAAAAATACACGTAAATTAAAAATAATTTTAATCTTATAATTATAATCTATGAACTAAACTTACTGTGATAATTAAGAACTTAAAAATACATACAAAAAGAAGTCTACAATTTACGTAAATATGAGCATTTCTGCGCGGGTTTTTCTTTATTATATAAAGTCAATAATTGATGGTTGTCACGGACGCAGACAAGCAATTGAAAGTGGCGTGGCTTTGGCATATAGTATCACTTTTGTTTTGTTTTTTTGTTTTTTTTTTTTTTTTTTTTTTTTTTTGTTTTTTTTTTTTTTCCATTTGGGGCCAACCATTACAGAAAGGTAAGCACTTGAATTCGTCAATTTTATAGCAACAAAAAAAAAAACATTTTAATTTATCAAGCTAATATCTTTTAAAGTCAACAATTACTCATACAGAAGTTGCAATCTAGCTATAAACGATCATATATATATGCATATATATATATATATATAATCTACAAACGATTCATTACTCAAAGCTCCCTTCCTTTTTGACCAAAAATTAAGTCTTGGAATTTTTTTTTTTTTTTGTTTCTTTTGAAAGTCTTCCTATTTTGGCTTACAGAATTGGCACAAGAGTACAAGCGGTGTTAAAAACCACATATATGAATTCACTTAGCATCATGTCCCGATCATTTTTCTGACGTAAAAGGCTAAAGAGTCCTTTTCCTTATGAATCAAAGAGAAACAACAGAAATGTAAGACTTGTAGTTTATGATTTTAGTAATTGATGTTAATATATTTATAAAAACTACTATATATAATATGGTTACACTGTACTAGAAAATAATTATTAATCGAATGAAAAGATTGACTTGATGGTCTTTTTTTTTTGTTGAAAATTTTAGGTGCGTTTGGAATTAGTTTTAAAATGATTATATATTTTGTATGAAATTAGAAATGAAAACGTTTTCGATCTTAGACAGAAATCATTTATGAAAATACATTTGGTAGTTTTATTAACAGATTATTTTTAATATAAGAAAAAACTGAAACTCCGTTTGATTATACAATTTTTATTTTTAATTTAAAAACACTCTGTTAGTTCATTTAAGTCCACACTTACTTGCCAAAAAAAGGCATACACCCAAAACTAAAAATGAAAAACAACTTAAATTCATTATCAGTTTTTAAGTCATTTTACACTAAACTGAAAACCGTTTTTGTTTTCATTTTTTTTCACTTTTTTCCTTCAGATGCGTTTTTCTGCTCAATCTCTACTTGTTTATTTCGAAAAATGTGAAAAATGAAAACATAACTGATACCAAACACGCTCTTTAATTTATCCTTACTTTTTTGGTGAACTAGAATTATTAAAATTTAATTCATTTTAAGTTCCATCATTGAAAATCTCAATAAAAAATATCAAGATATAGCTATGATATAGAAGAAAATTTTAAAAGAATGCTAATTATAAAATTTGGTCGACCAAGACTGGTCGGGCTTGGGCGGGCCTCACCCAATCTGAGAACTTGCCTAACCATGCAAGCCTAGCCCATGGGCTTGAGAACATCAGTTTGATGGGATCTATTAGCCAGACTGGGCCTGGATTGCCCATGGGTCAAGCCCATTTTGCACATCTAATTCTTAAATTTTGATAGTAATTATTCACTTACAATATACACATCATCCATTTCATTTCATTTTGTCTCCTTTTTATCCCACGGAATTATATCATGATAAAATTTAAAAAAAAAAAATCAACCTTCGGTAATTCAATATGTAAGGGGAAAAGAAAAACCTTATGTTACGTCAGATACGACACAACATGAGAACAATGTTTGCCATCTTTATGAGACGAACACACTTAACCAATAATAGTACGAGACAAAGTTTTGAGCAGAAAATTACAGATTTCACATTTTTAAATACTTGATTTATTAAAAGTATGTCCTTTAAAAAAATCTACTCCTCGATTAGTTATAATATAAAAGATAAAAATATATGAGCTAATGTTAAGGGTTGGAAATAAAAAAAATTTTCATTTTAAGATGTACTTTTAAAAAAATTTTAAATTTGAGTATACCAAACCCAACACGAAATGAAACACGCTTAAGCTTAGCTTATATGGTGTGAATTAGGCTAATATAACATGATTGACGTACAATATAATACTTTTGTAGGAAGAAACCTGATAATAGATTTTCATAATACAAATAATTAGGAACAATACGATATATGCTTTAAATTATCACATTATGATTAAGATTTTATTTTTATATAAAAACAATATTAGGATTTAAATAAACTTCCACAATTCAAGTCGACCAGAAACTCCCAAGAGCAATGTCATTTCTCTCTCTTTCTCCGATCAATAAAATAATGCTGGTTGCTGATCTAATAAGTGTATTATTGAAGCTATTTGCAAAAATTATTTTACCTAGAGAAGATTGTTAAACATTTTAACAAATTTAAGAATTGCTATTCTCAATCGCATATTCTTAGGCCCATTTGTTTCGTGGGTAGGCCCCTTAAAATTAAAAATGGAGAAAAAGAGAAATAAGTCAAGACTTGAGATGAATTAAAATTAATAAGTCAATAGTTTACATAAGTTAATAAATAGGTCAAATTACTATTTTCGTCCATAACTTGTCTGGTTATGAACCATAACTTGACAAGTTATTGTCCATAATTGTCCATAACTTGTCTGGCTATGAACCATAACTTGACAAGTTTATCCATAACTTATCTAGTTATGAACCATAACTTGACAAGTTATGACCTATTAATTTTTATAATTAAAAATTGGTCTCTATACTTTCTTAAGCTTTTCATATTAGTCTATTTTTTACTATTTTCCAATTAAAAATTGAATTTTTATAAGAAAATTATAATAAAAAATATGAATTTAAATTTTTATGAAATAAAACATTTTAATAAAAAATTTGAGTCATAACTCGAATCGTGAAATGAACGAAGTTTAAAAATTTTCAATTTTGACCCCTCAAATTAAAAGTTTAAAATTTTGTAAGGACAAATTTAGCATCTTGTACAATTTTTTATTATTAAGCAAATAGGTGTCGATGATCAAAGGAGCTAACAATACTTTTCAAACTCTCCAAATAAGAATAAAGGATGAAACATAAAATTTAAAAGAGAATTTTGTAATTTTTCATTTTTCCATTTCACTAATAAGTGCACTAAAGAGATTTTACTAAAAAAGAAAAAAATTTCTCTTAATAGAATTTTTTATCGGCAGTATTAATTTTTAACAGTTGACTTTGATTAAAAATAAAAAATATATAAAATATTTATTTTGTGATACAAATATGACGATTACGAATTAAAAGAAGGCCGATACTCACATTTTTTGTAATCTTACAAGAGAATTAAAAAAAAAAAAAAAAAAAGCTAAAGAGTTGCGATATTTAACGTTATTCGTGTAAAATATCTGTAACAAAAACAAGTTAGCGGACAAAAGACAAACGAGTACTGCAGAACACGCGTCATCAGAAAGCGTGAGTTAGTAAGTGCTTTAGTGGTGAAATTGGCCTATAAATGGCGGGAGCCTCATTGCTGTCGAGATTTCTCACTCTCCCCTAATTCTCTCTCGTCAACTCTTCGCTAATTGCATTTCAACCCCTCCAAAACCCTTATATCTCAAAACCCTCCCTTCATCACTCCCAAATCCCTCACCTGAACAGTTCTTCTTCCTCATTCGATCCTCGGCCCCGCAGTCCCGCCTCTGTCGGCGTCTCTGACCTCACTTCGACATCGTTTGTCGAAGACACTTCGCGATTATAGGTCCGTTTGGCTCTGTCGAAACCTAGGGTTTTTGTTCTGTAAAGGAGGGAGAGTTGGAGCATTGACAGAGATTTCGTATTTTTATTTGGGATCCAATGGAGCCCACCGCAGTCGCACGTGGTGGTCCGATGCCGATTCCGCCGCCGCAGCAGTCGCGGAAAGCCCCCGGCGGCAGTGGCGGAAAGAGGGGGGAGCCGTTTCAGACCACCATTCGGTTCGAAACGTCGGGGACGAGGTAACTTGCTCTCTTATGAACTCGCCGGCATTGGCTTGTTTGGTCACTCAGAAAATGTAGGATGAAATAATTGATGGAGTTTTAGTCGTTGTTTTGGTGGTTTTTTTTTTCTCCCTTTATCATCTGAAGGTTTCGAAAGTGTGAAATGTTTACTCGGTAAAGCCCTTTACTTGTTGGGTAGTAAAGGTTGTAACTTTATCTGTTTTTTCAATCAGGATGGACTTAGTAATTGTTTTTTGTTTTGTTTTTTTGGTCGTGATTTATAGTAAAAATTGTGGACAGAAGAACATATTGGGAGCTCATTTGTGGTCTTAATGTTTTTTCAAGTGATTCATGTTGTTTATTGGTATATTAGATTTATCTAGAGAATGAGATTGAGGATTACGCTAAGTACTTATATTCATTTCATCATTCTGGTTCGTTTCTTTTTCTCCATTTGTGTGCCTGTGCACCCTCATGGAGAGTGTCCATTAGATGAGAAGGATTCATACTGTTTCTGTTCCGACAGCTAAATTCAGGGCTAAAACTTTGAAAAAGTTATAGTGGATGGTTTGATGTTGAAAAAATGTTGACTTGAGCTGATTTAGGCCAAAGAGAAGAAACTTATTTCTAGCATGTAACTATGTTAATTTGATTAGTGAACTCTTTGGTCCTCTGAATTATAGGGGACCGAAGGAAAAGCCAATAGATGTTTTTAATACAAGCATTACTGTTTTGTAATTATTCTGATTTATCACTGTTGTATACCATGTTGCAACTATGCAATGCATGAACTCCTCATGTCTTTATTCATTAACTGGACGTCTTTCAAACATAGGAATTGGAGCGATCAAAGATAGGGCAATCGGAA